TGATATAAACTTTAGCAACCATCATTAGTTTTATTAACCATATTGTCATCACACCAAAACACCATTCAGGAATAAATGCACTTCCAACAGCGACGCTGGCGGCCGCCACCACTACCGCCGATAATATTCAGGCGGGCTTTCTCCTAGAGAATCTCAACTACCAACCTCACGCATCTGTCCAACGTATGCCCGCACAACCCTACGTGATGACCATACCATCACCATAGAGAGACCACCTTTGCACCTGAACACCAGCAACAGCACCGCCAGGTAGCTAACGGAGGCACCGGTGCATGTCATCTACTAATAAGCAGGATCTAGCCGGAACTCAATCGGATCTACCATCTCACTATGGCTACGCTACCACAGAAACCACCACCAAAGGCTAACATGATGTTGTTGCGTGATGGCGAGCTCAACACGTTAGTGAGGACATCGAGTCGAGGCCCTTGTAGGCTGCCGATGCTGCAACGTCAAGTAGACGGACGCAAAAGCAACCACCCACCAAAACCGCTACCAGGGAAGCCGTCGAGTCACCAGAGGATGCCGCGCCGTGCAACCAAAGGGGGTCAAGCCTCCCCCACCACAAGCTCCCGCTGACGGGAAAGGAAAAAAGCCCCGCCGCAGGGTCTTAGGCCAATAGCGTCCCATTTGGCGACAAGGGGAGTGGTGGGGGTAGGAGTGGAGGCGACATTACGATTTAGGGTTCCGCCCGTAACGAAATGCTTTATGTAAAACTAACTTTTATGGAGCCGAGAATTATGGAGCTTTAAACTACACTTTACAGTTCAAATGTGTAAGTATATTTTTAATGAGATCTCACTTTAGCGGAGATATAGTGCGTAAACAAACTTGAAATGAGTTTTTTAATGTAAAAAGGAGGCTTTAAATTACAATTTCATTTATTTCGCAAAAGGAAAATTAGTACAATTTCATTTCAAATGTTTTGAAGATTTACTAAACTAGTAGAGTACAATTTTCCAAGCTTTATGGCTTCGTATGAGGTGTCGTACAGCCCACACTCCCCACTCGCTCACTCGTCGCTCCCCGCATCCCAAACCCTCGATCCCCTTTCTCCACCACGGCCGCCATGGCGTCGCCGCCGCCGCCGCTGGTCTCCATCCCCATCCCCGACGACCTCCTGGAGGAGATCTTCCTCCGCCTGCCCACCCCGGACGCGGTCGCCCGCGCCTCCGCCGCCTGCACCTCCTTCCGTCGCGTCATCAAAGGCCGCGCCTTCCGCCGCCACTTCCGCGCGCTCCACCGGCCTCCCCTCCTCGGCTTCATGGACGCGGCCGGATTCCACCCGGCCCAGGCGCCGCACCCCTCCGCTCCGCTCGCCGGCGCCCTCGCCCCCTGCGCCGCCGATTTCTCCTTCATCCCCGCCGTCGTTTCTTCTGCCTCCTACACCCCGCGGGGCGTCCAAGCCGACGGGGAAGGCCCCCGCGACGTCCGCGACGGCCGCGTCCTCCTCGATTGGGTCTCCCTCCACCCACGCGCCATGCGCATATGCTGCTACATGGAAGACGGCTACGAAGTAAGCATCCTCATGGATTTCGGTGAGCTCGCCCCGCGTGACCGCCCCACCTGGACCGAACGGGAGCGGTGCAACGCCGCCGAGTTCCACCTCGCCGTCTGTGACCCCCTGTCCAGCAGATACGTGCTGCTTCCAACCATACCCGAGGAGCTCGCCGTCCAGCCGCAAGATTACCTTCGGGAATTCGAGCCTGTGCTCGCTCCCAACACCAGCGACGACGGCGAGGAGGAACACTTCAAGGTGATATGCATAGCAAAATACCACACAAAGCTCGTCCTCTTTGTCTTCCCGTCCACAACTATGCAATGGTCTATAGTGGAGTCTCCTATTTTCCCTTCTTTGAAACACATGTCATGTTTTGACTGCGTGCACGGATGCTTCTACTGGACAGAGCCTTATGACAGGAGTGACCATTTGATGGTGTTGGACACGTGCACTTTGAGGTTTTCCACTGTCGACCTTCTCACAGGTTACCATGTGGAGCTCAGAGATCTGCCTGACCAGAGCTTTGATCGTCGGCGCCCAAATGCTGTTGTTTTGGGCAGAGAAGGAACCCTTGAGATGTTTTCTCTTGTCCGTCAACACGGATCGTTTGCCCTCTATCATACCTCTCTGCAGAATAATTCGCAGGAATGGAAGCTTGAGAAGGTCATACCGCTGCCTTGGCAGTATCATGACTATTCCATTTCCACAGTGGGTGCAGCTGAGGGATTCTTGTTCTTCCGAGGCACTCTAGAAGGGATTCCTGATGAGAATGTCAACGTGGATTGCTACTCCATGGAGGTCAAGACATATGGAATTACCAAAGTCTGTACAAAGACGGAGAAGTACTTCAACCGCACATGTACCCTCCCATACTTTAGCTTCTCACCGCTGTTATCGGAACCAACTATCTGATCAACTGGTAAGCCTAATTATTTCATTTATGTTGCCATTGGGTTTGGGTGCATGCTTAGCTTGTTCTGCCCGCATGGTTATACAGAGAATTAATTATTATTCTATTGGGCTTGACTACCTTGTCAAACTAGCTAGGAGAGGTAGCCAATTCATGGTTTTATTCTGCACACATATTTAATAATTGTTTGTGATTGACAAGGTTAGTGAAAAAAAGATTACATACTACTTTGGAAAGCTAATATCTTTTGCTCCATATCTTATGAGAAAATGGCTTTCACGCTTGCTTCTTTGTATTTAGTGATCTTAAAAGTCTTATGTTAGTTTACAGTGGGAGTACATCTTTGGTCATACTTATCAATTTCACACCATTCATTCAACAGAACGATGGTGTTCAAAACAAGAACGTTGCACAACCTGTAAGCTGATATTTGAGTACTATTTATTTGCCATGTTGTGTTTTCAAAAGCATAGAGTTCACATGTTATGATCTGCTATTTTTATTTATTTATATTGCTTCCAAACTGCAATAAGATGGCTCTGGGTTTCTTGGGAAGGACGAATAAACAGCTTGTGCGCCTTTGTTCTTAAGCTGTGTTGTACTCTGCAATTTAGCAGATAGGAAAGATTCTCATTGCATCAACTGAGCAGTTGCTTCAAATTTCTACTCCGGTGTTTATATTATTGTTCTATTGGGCTTGACTACCTTTTCAAACTAGCTAGGACAGGTCATGGTTTGATTCTGCATGCATGTTTAACAACTGTATGTGCTTGAGAAGGTTAACTGAAAAGAGAGATTATTACACACTAGTTTGGAAAGCTAATCTTTGTTGCTCCATATCTTAGGAGATAATGGCTTTCACGCTTGCTTCTTTGTGTAGTAAGTACATTGTTAGTCATACTTAGCACTTACTACATATTGTTCATTTAATTTAATGGCAATGTTCAAAGTAAGTATGTTGCATAACCAGTGAGTTGATGTTTGAAGGCCTTGAGTCCTGTATTTATGAGCACTCATTATTTACCATGTTATGTTTTCAAGAACAGAGAGGGTTCGTTTGTTATGGTCTGCTAAGTTCTTGTGTATATTTCCAAGCTGCAATATACTACGGCAGCTTGCGGCCCTTTGTTCTTGAGCTATATTGTACTCTGCTATTTAGCACATGGCCCCTTCCTAAGAAAATGGGATGGGAAAGATTCCCGTCTCATCAACTGCAGTTGCTAAAAATTTCTAACTAAATACATGTATGCAGATCTGAGCTCGCTGGCCTTGATCTTGCTTGGACCTGGACCATACATCTGGAGTAGGATGGCGGATGTTCAAGATGGTGCTGATGTAGTTTGATATGTCCGTGTTAAGTGTCATATGTATGTAAGCAGGATATGGTATCAGCAAGTTGAATTTGCCTGACAATGACGTCTAAGACTCGTAATGTTGTTTGTGTTGGAAGATTGGCTAGGCTAGTGGTGCTGACTTTGGTTATATTCTCATGTGCCAATACTAGCTTTTCTCTAGATGAGTGGATGGGTTTGTTCATCTCTAGCACTGAGCATGGATGCTTTTGTTGGCAAATAGATGGTCCCATGACATAGAACCAGAGGCTGGTATCATGCAAACCTGATGCCTGAAAGCATCAACTTTCAGAGCATCCGAATTCCAGAAACCTTTTTCCAGAAATTTCAGAGCATCAGGTTTATAACACAAACGCACTCAAATTTGAGGTGAATAGTCAGGCCCTATGTTGATATGCACAGAAACTCCATGTTCAAAAGGCTACAAACACAAGCACCAAGGTAGATTTGAGTCACAAAGGGCACCAGATTTAGCTTGCCCACACCAGCACCAAGTAAACCAACTTCCACAACCTTTTCTACAAGCAATCAATCACTGAAGCAAAGAGCACGTTCCCTGGAGCCTTTTGCAGTCAAGTTCAAAAAACACTATCTTGACCCTTGAATAAAACCCAATATGGTATGCTACACAGCCTAACATCCAAGGCAGATTGACTCGGCCTATGTCATGGTAGTTTCGGTAGCAGGCTGCGAGTGGGAGCTACCGCCGCCTTCTCCAGCGCCTTGATCCGGTTAGCCTCCATGCATGCCTTCTGCTCCTCCGACAGCTCCACTTTGCGTGGTTTGCTTCCACCCTTCTCACCTCCATCTCCAGGCTTCTCCCCCTCTTTCGGAGCCAAGGGTTCCTGGCATGGGACACAGAGCATCACTGGTCTGGGAAACATTCATACTAACCTACGAAGTCCGAAAGCTAATGTGCACAAAGGCTAGAGGGGGATTAGTCCCAAAACTAATGTCTACTAACAATTTATGTTTCTCCTTCGGGAGCTTCTATTTTATTCCCATGGAACTTAGATGTGTGTCAACTTAGAGCTAAGAACAGCCACGTCAGGTTCATCAAGGTATGGTATGAACTTACATCAGCTTTGTTTTTGTAGGTTTCATTCAGAGAGTCCTCTCATGCAGTGGATCAACGTCGCTACTTTCCGCCAGTGGCGGTTCTATATCTTCTTGCATCAATTCCATGCCATTATTTTCCTTCGCCGGAGGTTCAGTCCCCAGGGTTGTGTGGCTCCATCTACAACAGATAATGTATGAGCAATGCTAAGACGTCCAACTTCAGGCGTCCAACAATATTTTTCCAGCTTGATAGACAGTAACTGTATACACCTGTTCTTTTTCTTACATCTAATAGTATATATTTCAGAATTAAATAGTAGTTCACATATATTGGTTTTCATGACATTTGATCGCTAGCTACATGCTAGAAATTTCGATGTACATGTAAGAATGGTAAAACTAAATCTACTATATGTAAAGACTGTAAAAAAGAATAGAGAGAAATAAAAAAAAGGGGCATTCCGAGAATTGAACTGGGGACCTCTCGCACCCTAAGCGAGAATCATACCACTAGACCAAATGCCCTACATCTGATATATTTTCCAAACGATCGAACTTATTCCATGAGACCAAATGCTGGCGGCGCCTGCCTGCCTGCCTTGGTTCCTGGGAGATTGCATTGCAGCTAGCTAGCAAATAAATCAAGGTCTAGGAGAGAAGACGATTCCACCAGCATTGGACAGGAGTACTAAGAGCCTCGTCCCCTTGAAGAGAAGAGTATCATCTCTGAATGCAATGCTACTTCACAGAGATTGATTTTCATGACATCTGAGTCGCTAGCTACATGAACCCAAAAAATAAAAAATGAGCTGGACTTGGAGTGGGGTCCACAATTGATTTTTGTCTTCTTGAGCTTATGGGGTTGTAAGTCTTTCTTCTATACCATATTGGCACTAGAACCTCTCTCAATACCTCAAGCACGTGTGTCTTTTGATCTCACCTTTTCTTCCACATCAAGAGTACCAATGAGATTCGGAATGGAAACTCCTGTCTTTTATGTTTCAGAGAGGTAGCAAAGTTCCTCCACAAGGGAGGAAGCTTGGTGATAATGCCTCCGTAAACAAACTTTTCATGTAACATATAATTGAAGTACTCAAGTTCTCTAGCAAATGACTGTATCTCAGGAGCTTGCTCAACCACGGAATGCTCACCAGTCATCCTGTAGTCATAGAATTGTTCCATGATATACAGCTCAGTGTCGCCATCTGAGACCCCAAACTTGGCCTCGAGTGCGTCTCAAAAATCTTTGCCATTATCAAATGATGCATAAGCATCAACTATGTTCTCACCAAGAGCACTCAAGTGAGCAGCCTTAAACCGGTTATCAGTTTTCTGAAAAGCTTGTTCCTGTTGAGGATCAAGATCTCTTTTAGGTTTGCCAAGTGTGGCGTCATAACAGCTCATGGTTTGAAATTGTAAAACTGCTCTCACACGCCACCTCTCAAACATAGGAGGCCTCATGGATGTAGCAAAACCACTCGGGTAAAGGGCTTATAATAAGGTTTTTGGACTGTTGGAAATATGATCAATTTAACAAATGATTTAATCCACAGAAATAGAAGATAAAGCATGACTATAATAACAGAGATAGAACAAATCATGCAATCTAACCGAGATTATGAAAATAGCTTCTAAAGTTGTGAATTCAAACACAACATGTTTAAAACAATAGCTAGAACAAGAAACTATAGCAAGATCTTGAACAATGGACAAATGAGCATGTATTGTGCAGCAGAGGAACCGTTCACGTTGGTGTTTTCGCCCATGTCGTCGAAGAGTTTATCGATGTCGTGGAAGAGATAGTCGCTGGGAAGTGATCGTTGGTGTTTGTGGCGTCCCTGATGAAGAGTTAAATAGTCACGGAGAGCGCTCCCCAAAAAGCTCATCACCCTTCTACGCACCAACAAATCTCCTCCTCCAACTCATGAGGGGGCACGCTATCTTGAAAGATGATTGTAGCTTCTCATTTGGCAATATCTTGGTCATCATATTCAAAACATTGTCGTCGGTATGGATCTCCTCAAGTTTCAGCAACTTGGAACTTAGAACATCTCGAATGCAATGATACCCCACATCAATGTGCTTGGTTCGAGAGTGATAGCTTGAATTCTTGGCAAGATGAATAACACTTTGACTGTCACAAAACAAAACCTACTTCTCTTGCTTCGTGCTAAGCTCTTACAAGAAGTTCTTCATCCATAACACTTCCTTGCCAGCGTCAACCGCTGCTATATACTCAACTTCTGTAGTTGATGTGGAAACACATTTCTCCAGTATTGATTGCCACGACACTACTCCCCCTGTGTAAGTCATCAGGTATCCGGATGTGGACTCCATATGAACCTTGTCAGCGGCATAATCTGCATCCGTATAGTCCTGCAATAAAGGTTCACCGCTTCCAAAGCATAAACAAGATGTAGAAGTTCCCTTGAGATACCTAAGAAGCCACTTCATAGCTCCCCAGTGAGCTTTATCTGGACTTTTCATGAATTGGAAAACTCTAACTGCATAGGCAATATGAGGTCTAGTGCATACCATGGCATACATCATACTGCCGACAACAGATTGGTATGTTACTTTCATCATTTCTT